AAGAGCTAAAGAAAGCACACACACACAAAGGGGAAAAAAAAAACCTGCAGCAAAGACACCTAAAATAAATCAGCACTGCTGTTTAAGCAGTCTGAGAGAATCTGTATCAGGTGGGATTACAGAAATAGACAAGAACTCAAAACTAATGAGCGTTTTCTTTCTTTAAAGAGTCCCCCCCTCTTTGTTTGTGTCCCTTTTCTGCACAGAACACTCCTCTGTCCCTCCACTCAGAGCATACACCATCATTCATGCCTCCTCTTCTGCACACAGCCCACATCCTTTCTTCCCCTGAGAAGAGTTAAACACTCTTGTTCCTCCAAAGAACCATTTATTTTTCCTGACAAGGCCTTTTATGCAATTAGCTCGAGAAGCCATAGCCAAAAAGAAAGAATAACACATGTAAAACCAGGCCAGAGAACAGAGTAGGTAGGAACTTGTTGAGTCTATTACCAGGCAAAATGTTTAAATCAATGCTGCGTCCTCATAAATCAAAAGCCATATTGAGCCTTAACTACAACCATCCCTGAGCAATGCGGAATGGGGAGAAAACTCTTAAAAATTTATTTGAAGCTCCTGGATCGAGGAGGGGAGGAAGCAGCAGATGAGACAAGCGCAGTGTAGGGTCATCTCCCAGACAAAGAATTTATTTCACAGGTGAGAATGGAGTGTTCAGGGCTGAGCAGAGCCTGCCAATCACACCGACTTGTCCCAGTCTGGTGGTGATTTGGAGACATTAGAGAAGCATTTGAACCTAGTTAAAACTTGGACATTTATGTGGGGTTTGTGCCCGTAACAGATATTGAGCCCAGAAGAGCCAGAACTCTTTGCTGCAGATCAGAGACAAAAGGATTTGCACTGCAGACCATAAAAGATCATTCTTTTTCAATTACACTTGACAGGTCTGAATTATTATAAGAGGAATGGGTTTGGAGCAGGAACAGTGAACCACAGAGCTTAATGTAATTTGAGAAACAGCACAAAAACCTCATCACATCCTTTYCTTTTTCAGCTGGGAGTGCAAGATCATATCTTTTCACCCCTCCATCCTTGTTCATCCCCTTACTCTTCCACTTGAGCTGCTTTGATTCAGATTTAGGGCCCCCATTCATCCCCATTAGATGGATTTTCTGTAAAACTGTTTTCCAAACCCATGCTCTGCTTCCGTTGACAGGATTTCACTGCTTTCCAGAAAAGTGATGGATTTCTCACATCCCAAAGTTTCTAAAGGCCCCTTCTTCACCAGCATCCTTGTCAGCACAGAACCCTTTAGCAGTTGTGTCAAAGCAGTGGCTCTGACCCAAAGAAGGATCTTTTTGCTGCTGTGAACTCCAGCACTCCCCATTTTTATTTCTCCTGCCAAAAGCGGGTTGYTTTTCAGTGCCTGGGAACACACAAGGAGCTGGTCACCCACAGCACCCATCCCCAGCAGGTTTTGGGTTCCCGAGGGTGTGAGGGCCTCTCTAGGCTTCTTCTAGGGTTTTTCTCACAAGGTAGAGTTTTTTTCCTAGCCCTGTCCTTCCACCTCTCCTTATTTACTTCTGTTCAGCCACCACGTCCAGACCCACCCAGCGATTTTATAAACTTCCTTTGTTCCTTTAGGCAGTTGGTTTTACTAGAACTGCATCCTCCATAAGAAATCCAGGACAATTTGCTCCTGCTCTTRCTTGCAGTCCTTAACACATTGTCAGCACTCCCTCTGAAGCAATCACACAGAAAATAAGAGCTGCTTCTTCCAGCTCTGGCATTTACACATTTTTACGAGATGCTGGAAAAGTACCATTGGATCTTTCTTCCCCCTGCAAATGCTGAGACAGTAATAAGTAACAGATTCACAGAGTTCTGACTCGGATCGAGGTGTTTCTGACATGTACCATGTCTTTCAAATACATTACACACTCTAATGCTCCTGTTATCAGGAGCTTAAAGTTTTTACGTTCTCTTCTCCCCATCAGCAGTGGAACCAGGGAGGATTCCCACCACAAAGTTCCCAGTAAAACAAAGCAGCCTGCTTTGTTGGGGCTCCACTTGGGACAMCTTCTTCCATCTCCTCGATTCATTTTCTTACCCTGTCATTGCCTCTAATCGTGAATATTTCAGTGTTTCTGGGAAATTTCAAAAGGGAAAGGCTGTTAAAAACTATTTGAACAAATATTATCGTCAAAGAAGCTCAAAATCACTCCACAGTGTTTGGGAGTCTTTCCCAATCCAAGACCTGCTCATGGGACATGTGTGGTGGGACCTTCTTGAGCTATAAATGATGTGCAGCTTATCTGATGGCCCAAAGATACAGGAATTTAAAATTATGAAGTGGTTTGGGTTAGAAGGGACTTTGAAAATCATTTCATCCCACCCAACACCTTCCACTGTCCCAGGTTGCTCCAAGCTCCATCYAACCTGACCTGGTGCCCTTCCAGGGATGGARCAGCCCCAGCTTCTCTGGCTGCTCATTTAATCCTGGTGTTTCCAACTGCAAACCCAAGAGTTTAGGTCCAGTTGAATCCAAATTAACATCTTAAGACAAACGTACAAGACAACCCGTTGTGGTGGCTTGGAGTAGAACACTGCCAGAAAGTGAAGGGGGGAATGAAAATTGAGATTCATTACGTTTAAAGTGGACTTTTGACCAGGAAGATGAATGGCTACATTTTTCTGGGCAGATTTATGGGCCAAATGAAGCCCTGGTTTAACCTCTGAACTCGAAGGGTTTCATAAAGGGAGGAATTTGCCTATCGGGGTCATGCATGTGAATTCCCAGGCATTATGAGATTGAAGCTGTGGTCATTTCCACTGAGAAGAGAAAGAGGAAAACCAACAAGAAAGGGCAATAAGATCACTGCTTCCAGATCATCAGACAGCGATGGATGTGCTCAAGGAAAAAGCAGATCCCCTGGAAGAATTAGAACATCAAAATAATGTGGTACTGTCTGCTCTCAGGTCACTGATGACCACAGAAAATCACAACCTCAACCAAAAATCCCAGTTATCCCTGACTGCTTGATGAATGCCTGATGCTCTTCCCATGAAAAAAATGTACTCTGCCTTCTCCTCACCTCATTTTTTGACATAAGCACCTGCTGCAGCTGCTACATAAAAAGGTGAGAGGAAAAAAGATGAGCTGCATCAGCTGGGAAGAAAAGAATCACACAGAAAATATAGATTACAAACTAGAAGCCCCTTCTCAAATTCAGAATATGGCAGAATTTCAGAATATGGCAGAATATGGCAGCACTCAGATCTACTCATCATACATACCCAAATATCATAGAMYGGTTTGGGTTGGAAGGGACCTTAAAAATAATCTAATTCCAACCCCCTGCCATCTCCAAGAGCTGTAAATGATTTAAAAGTGAAAGAGTGAGTGCAAATATTGAATGTGACATTAATAAATATTTGAAGCTGGCCCTGATCTCGTGTTCAGTGGGCTCCCAGCTGGTTCTTCACTCCCAGTGCGTTTGCCTTTCCTTCTTCCCAGCTGGCACTGAAGTAGCAACAGCCTCAAGGACAGATTTTGAGACATTTGTTACTGTAAAACAGACTTGTGGCAGCATTTAAGGCTGCATTGAACCTAAAACTGAGCTATTTTCTGGCTGTCTGTTAAAAATGGACCACAAGCTAACATGAAATAATAGATTCTGCAGCATTTTGAGGCCAAAATTCCATTCTTAATGGTTTTTTAAAAAGCACCCTGACAATGACAGCCCTTTGTTGATGCAGGCTGGTTTCTGGGAACGCAGTGAGCAAGGATCTGCATCTGTTTGCGCAGAGAACTTGTAATTGTGGAACGAGTCAGAGCTTCCAAGCACAGATGAATGTTTGTTGATTCTGCCCTAATTGGTGCTGCATTAATACCAGCCAGAGCTCCCAGTCCTACATGCGGTGCAGAAACAGAACAGATGCTCCGTTCCAAACATCTCAACTTAAAACTGAGCCTGCAGCTTAACAGCAGCCCAGGAAAGTCCCTTAAGGTCCCAGTTGTTTCTGAGAAAATGAAAGTCATTTTTAGGAACGGTGTTGACCTTCCTGAGCTCTTTTCTCCTCCAGGGAAATTTAATTTCATTTAGAGGAAACATTATCATGCTGTTTGAAAGTAGCACGAAGGTTTTTCTGCACTGTTAGAATTTTTTTTGGAACAGAAAAGCCTTGCTGATGTTACCAARCAAACAGAAAATCTTGCTGATATATTCCAACAAGCAACCAAAAGGGAATGAAGTGAAAGGGCCTTATCAGTGTAAATGGCCTCTGGGTTGAAGTCATTATTTGTATCTTTTAATCTCTTTCTGAAAGCTCTGGAAGCTCCCTGTGTTATCCATGAAACCTTCCCACAAAGTTTTATCGACTTCATGAATTAGCATATTTATTTAGAATTCTTCAATAAGAATTTAATCAATGAAGTCATGTTTCTTTATTTTAAATAATGTRTTATCCATGAAACCTTCCCACAAAGTCACTCAYTGCCCTTTCACAGCTTCCCTCACCATCCCGTCGTGCAAGTCCATTGGAAGTGGGAGAGTGGTAATCCTCACATGGAAATACAGTCTGGGACTGGCAGATTAAAACCTGATTTAAGTGAAATAATTTGTCTCTAAAAAAAAAAAAAAAAAAAGTTAAGCTGGATGTTTGGATGTTGAAAGTGGAGAGTTGGGCTGTGGACATAAAATCAGAGAATCTCAGAATGCTTTGGGTTGGAAGGGACCCTAAATTTCATCCAGTTCCACCTTCCACTATCTCAGGGTGCTCCAAGCCTCGTCCAACCTGGCCTGGAACACTTCCAGGTATAAACAATTTAATCTACATCTCTCAGCTAGGAAATAACATCCAGTCCTAAGGAATTGCAGCTCTTGATGGACTGTGTGATAAAGATATGGATTGCTAATTGCCTTCATTAATTTACAGGACAAAAAGCCGCTGCCATAGGAGGCTTCCCCACTATCCAACATCTTTATCAGCCAAGTGAAAAAAGATGGATTTTAATTCCTGTTCCACTTTTGTTTCTCACACAGGCATATCACAGGCAGGTTTCCTGACTATCCCCCTGAGCACGCAGGCGGTTCCAAGGCTATTCTCATTGAAAAACATCCAGAGCAGGTACTGTTCCCCTTTTACTGAAAAAAAACTTCGTGAGGTTGGAGAAGGAATTGTCCCAAAATGTCTGTTTATTTAAGCAGCAATTTTYCCTAACAGTGACTCTAGTTCTGCAAGAACTTAATGGTTAAAAACTTTTTGTTGCAAGGGAAAGGATGGGGTTTTTTTCAGGGTGTTGCCAGTCAGGTGCCAAAATCTGTTCCCTTTCAGGCTGTGCAGCTGTTTACTTGATGGAAAGTTTTTAATTATGAGATCAGATACAGTTAAGGGGATAAAAGKGTTTTATTTTGGTATTTCAATGGGATTTCAGGTGTATGGCTCAACAGAGTGGAAAGTGTCRCAAAATGCACATTGTGCATAATAGGTATACAAGTTTAATAGACTTTATAAATTAGCATATTTATTTAGAATTCTTCAATAAGAATTTAATAAATAAAGTAATGTTCCTTTATTTTAAATAAAATTTTTGGGGGGGTTGAGGTTAGAGTTCAGTTTACACAATATGTTTTAGAGAGAAGGCTTCAACCAAGGTTGGAGATCTAAACTTGAGATAGCATGGGGCATATTGATTTTTTACTGAGGTTGTTTGGTCTTTTTTCTAAGTAGAACTTTTTAATTAAGTTATAATATTAGGTTATAAGAGTTATAAATATGTAGGTTAAGGGTACAGGGGTACATAATGGRTACAGAAAATGTTTAAAAGGGTCTATAAAATATATAAAAGGGTCYGTGAAGGGTATATAAAAAGGCAAAAATCATCAGGCATCACAGCCACTTAACCACAACTGAAGGTGCTCAGGTGATGGACGAGAAGTAGAGAACAAAATAGGGAACAGTTTCTTATTCAGACAGGCCTCAGCCTTGATTTACTGCCAAGGCTCATTAAGCAAATTGAACATCCCAGCGAAGGAAATATCTGAGTTTATCTGACATATTCTTGTTGTGAACTCTGTTGTTTTTCCTGGTTAAGTCCCTCTCCTGATCCCTGTGGCTCATGGCAGTGGCTGATAATCTGCTCCTCTGATCATTGGGATGTCCTGCAGGGAAAGTGATGAAGCCCAGCTGAAGATCCAAGCGGGATCACGAGCCTGGAGGGGGAAAACAGGAAATCCTACACACACAGGAGCAGGGTTTGGCCCCTGAGTGAACCAGTGGGCTGGGCTAGGAAAACTAGGAGGTCAAAACCTGAATTCTGTGGTCCTTAAAGCTCCTCCACCACATCTGCTGCATGAATTTTCTCCAACTCTGACACAGGAAGGGTAAAAGAGGATTTTTATACAATCACAGAACAGTTTGGGTTGGAAGGGACCTAAAAACCATCCTGTTGCAACCACCCTGTTGCCTTCCACTAGCCCAGATTGCTCAGAGCCCCATCCAGCCTGGCCTTGGATGCTTCCAGGGWTGGGGAATTTTGGATTCAATCCTCCCTGTTCAGGCAGGCAGAGTGAGGGAGAGCCTCGGTGAAGTTTTCAGCCTCTAAAGCAGAAACACGGGCCAGAGTCAAGGTGGCTTTGTTGGCAGGAGCAAGTGGGACTTGTTGCTGGAGAAGGGTTTGGGGAATGCGATGCCATCAAGGAAGAAAAAGCTACTAGGAATTATTCTGAGCAACACTGGGTATGGAGGTAGATTCTGGAGAAAGGGATTTAACCTTCCTGTCTAGCTTTCAATTCCCACCTTCAGCTGTTTTGTTGCCTTTCCTGAGCATCTGCTTTTTCTTTGTGTGAAAAAAATGGAAGCCAAAAGTCTGGAGAAGTTGTTTTACTGCTTGGTTTCCCTGCACCCTGAAACAAAACAAAAACCTTCATCTATTTTTTTCTAACAAATTTTCACTAGCAATTATCTGATTTGCACCAATTTTGGGGCTGTTTTTTTCTCCCTTTGTGTGTCACAACCTTAAGGGATCTCCAGAGAAAGTTCAGTGCAATCACAGTTTTACCTGAATATCACACAARTAAAACATTTTTAGTTCCCACCTTCAGCAGTTTTGTCACCTTTCCTGAGCATCTGCTTTTCCTTTGCATGAAAAAAATGAAAGCCAAAAGTCTGGAGAAGTTGTTTTACTGCTTGGTTTTCCTGCACCCTGGGAAAAAAAAATCTTAATCTATTTTTTTCTAACAAATTTTCACAAGCAATTATCTGATTTTCGCCAGTTTTGARGCCTTTTTCTCCCTTTGTGTGTCRCAATCTTGAGAGATGTCCAGAGAAAGTTCAGTGCAATCATGATTTTATCTGAATGCCAAACAAGTAAAACATTTTTAGTTCCACTGAGTCAGCTGCATATTGAAAGCCCCTAAGGCCACTGGGGTTTGTTCCACTCTGCTCTACTGGGCAACATAGGAGAGGAAATGCTGGCCCCTTGAAGCTGATGGGAGTTTTGTCCTTGACTCCAGCGSGGACAGGAGTTCACCTCTTGTCTGTGTCAGCTCCTGTGCAGGGGTTGGTTACTCCCAAGTCAAACTCCATGAAAAATCCAGACCGAAATGTATTTAAAAAACGAGCATTTTATAAGGCTTCGGTAAAGACACTTTGGGGAAAATAAAATACAAATTAATCACGTCACGAACCATTGCTGCATTATGATCCATTCTATATTTCCTGAGCCTTTGACAACTCTGACCTTACTTGACTTTGTAATGTTGCTGGCCTTCTGCACAAACTGCTTCTGTGACATTTTACAAATCCCYCTCCAAAAGATGTGCCAGAGACATCCCAAAGCAGAGTTCTTGGTGCTGCTTTAAAAGAAAAATAAGTGCTGTCCCTTGACTGAAAAGAAGCTTTTTCTACTTTCCTCTTGAAGAGAATTTTCACATTCCAGGACATCAGCGTAATCTCCCTGCATCTGTTCCAGATTTCTGTCCCTGATGGTTTTTTATGTTTTGCTCCACAGATAATCATCAGATGTGACAATTTTTAGCTTTGCCCTTATCCYGCTGCCAACAAAATTACCGTCTTTCCCTGTAATTCATTAAGTCTCATCGCCATGAAAAGAAGCCAAGAGAGTTGCCATTTAGCAGGCACTTCCCCCTCTCCCAGCTCCCCTTCATTTCCAATATTAAGTAACATTCAAAAAAAAAGGAAAAAGTGCCAGAGAAGGACTCAAAGCTTTCAGATACTTTGATTATTTCAAGTTAAATGTGAAGGAGGAGGGAAAGTGTGCTTGGCCTCTGTTAAATTACACAAAAAATGAAAATACTCACCTGTAGAGAGCAATCCACCTTCCCTAAAAAAACACACCAAAAACCCTACATAAAGAAAAAACARTTCCTAGATTCCAAAATAACTTCTTGCTGTAGAATTAATTTTCCAAGAGAGAAAATTTTCCCTGCAGGAGCACTGGGCTGTGGCTCATAAAGTGTTTGTGTTCAAGCTGGTGTTGGAGCCAGGCTCTGAGGCTGTTCTAGCTGGAGATCCAGAATTCCCAAACTCACTCTATCCCTGCTTTTCTTTCATGCCCACAACTCTAAAAGAACGGAATTTCAAGGAAGGTCTTCTTTCAAGGAATAAAGGAAGGGTTTATTCCTGAAGAAGAACATTCACCTTGAGTATCACTCAGCTGAGACATTTTCATTCATGGACTTAGCACTGGTTTAGTGCCCAGCTCTTTCCCC